ACGTATTCGCGTATTCTGAATTGTGAAATCAGGTTTAAGTATTAATATGGATTAGACCCTGATTGTATCGCACAAAACAATGCCAATTTGACAATACCACGGTACATTTGCAGCGGTCCCTGTATTAGTAATTATGTTTTAATGTGATACAAGCAGGGTATACCCCATGATCGTACAAGACATATTTCTAAAATTAGAACCATAACCCGGAAACCAGACAATAAATCGTGTGTGAATACCCCGTGCATTCGAAAGCGCATTTTAAAGCTCGAGGCTTCTCGGACGCTACTGTCGTTCGAATGTTTCACGCAGTCTGACCTCTGAATACAAGCCCGTAGCCAGCACTTTTGAAAACAACAATAATATACCTGATGTGAAATGTGTGAATTTTTAAAAAGAAAAAAGAGCGAATTCTTTGGTATCTTAGAGCTCATTTACAGATATTTTTCTGGGTTTTAAATTTAATTGGCTTACTATGTGTTACGTAACGGGCATCTTTGAACTATTTTACCAATTTTGGAGAAGGGGATTCCCGGGCCTTCCTTCACCTGCAGACACACACACTCACACTCTAGATCCACTACGGCAAATTGTTGTACAAAAAAAATACAAGATTGTACGTATCTCAGCATTATTGTCTAAGCATTTTAAGGTAGAATGCTACTCACGAGTTTTTTCGCTCTTCGCAGATGTTAGCGCACATAGCAGTGACACTATTCCGTGGCGAAATCTGTCTACAATTATTCATTTTAGTATTAGTCAATTTATTATTATTTATTTCAGTACAGGGCCTCAGCTGGATTCATATTCATCTCGTCACTTGAAAGCTAGATACAGAGCTAGTTGATAAATTGTGTGGCCGTTTGTGGAGCGAAGTGAGCTCAGAATGTCAGTATTTGCATAATTGCTTAGTTTTACTGACAACAAATCAGCCTCTAGATCATTATTCAATGGACAAAATGGATTTAATTTTCTACCACTCTTAAGTTCAAACGTATTATTGCAAAAACTACAAATTCTTTGATCTAACGGAATTTTCGTGTGTCTGCCTAACTCAAAATTAAGTTTGTGGCCAAAACAGCGAAAACCTCGCCAGTATATCATATTTTAACAATTGATTGCCAATAAATTTAAGTATCTCCCAGGTTCTGACGTCATTCTTACCGACAACAGTATTTTATTCTTTGAGTAAAATATCTCTTTGCAGTATTGCAAGAAATTCGCAGTATGCCCAACTTGTTGTTCAAACCAGACAATGTCGAAACCAAAACCAAATTTGAACAGGGGATTTGTTTATGTGGGTTGCCCAAGTAAATCTGCTTATATAACATATTTTCGGGTACAGGCTATTTTTAGTTCAAGTAATTTCAATCAATATGAGATACAACGCTTGAAACAAACACAACATGATAGAAGCCTTTCACATTCGCCCAACATTGCTACATTGTTTGTAGAACTATTACACCAAGTATATCTCTGCAAAATTTTGTCTGTACCCTCTCGATGAATATTCGTACCCCCATATCTCGTTAGCATAACACATAGCTGACACAATGATTGCATCAAATAAATTAAATGCACTATTCAATGGCTTACCACCAAATTTCCTTACAGTATGTAAACTTGATGGTTCACTGTAAATCTGTTTTTTTTGGGGGGGGGGGGGGTAATATTCATACAGTAGTATTTTAGCAGCAGTCTCTATAAACCACAATGACATTTCCTTTTTATGTACACACTAGAAATATTGTCAATTTTGTAAGACATCAAAAAAATTGTTTCAGGCACTATATATATTATCTTTTTGCACTATATGTTACCGAGACAAATGTTGAGATATTGGGATATATGCTTGCCATAAAAAACAATAATAATATGCGCTAAAACGGACAAAATATTCTGAACATACATATTCACTGTATTTTATTGATCGAGTACGATGGCCCCATATTTTTATTTCATTCTCTTCATTCTTGTAAAATCATTTTTTACATGATACATATATATCATTTATGTAAAAGTGAAGAAACTTACAATAGTATGTGTAGCACACTATATTGATAACGCAGACTTTGGCATATCACACAATACATAACATAAGATATCCTCCTTGGACGTCTCTTTGCGAACGTATCCACAACACAATCAATATCGATTTCTCGATGAATGTGGAGTAAAGCTAGAGACTTCAATCTCTCTTGCCCCATATATGTATTCAATCTTCTCATTGCAGAGAAACTGCGCTCACATTCACAGATTGTCACTTGAATGTTCGCAGCTATTTGTAGTAAAACGAATATGTTGGAAAGGTATGATTCATCGGCATAACTGAAGCAACACCCTGGGGGTAAATTGTTTTGACCTATACAACTCGTGGTCGATTCTGCTGATGATAAATCTTCGGCATTTTTTTGATGACCTTTTCAGCCCTTAGTTGTACACCATTGTTCAATAACACAGGCTACACGTACTAATACAATAAGTTGCTGACATTTGGCTGATACACCTAAAAAGAATTATAACACATCACTCGTTAATACTGTACTGTAATTGGTCAAAACAGGATCACGTGTTATCGGCTAAATTATCATAGTAGCGCCAGGAAAATTACTAGTTCCCTAGCGAGACTAATACATCTACTAGTGCCCGGGGATGACGTCATTCGTCACCTGATCGTGTTTTCTAATATGTCGTCTGCTAGTTCGGAAGCTGATATCGATGGTACGCATCGAAAGACTGGAAGATTTAGCGTCAGTTCGGAAGAAGAACTTGACACACTAGTAGAAAATAAAGATGCACCGAAGACGAAGGACGCAATCAAGTTTTCTAGAAGCGTCTTTACATCGTTTTGTGAAGAAATCGGGACAGCGCTAGCAGACGTCGAGAAGACGGCAGACGATCTATGCACGTTCCTAGTATGAACGTGTAATGTGTTATAAAACACATATTGCATGACCATGAGGGCACTAATATACGTCTATTTCCTGCGGCCTCGTGCAAATAGCAGGTATTGTTGGTTCCCACACAACCCCTCGGCGAAATCGATAGACGTATACTAGTGCCTTCACAGCAGTGCAATATGTGCTTAATAGTTTATAAGCCATCATTAACTCGAAGAATGCAAAACCAATGAACCAAACTTGGAATGCACAGTGTCGTGTTGTGCTGATAAAAACTACGGGACCGATCAATCACGTTCGATCCCCACGTTGTACTAACTGAGCAAACACTAGCACAAGACAAGCGGTCCACCACATCCTTCAGAGAGTGACTACCATTACATTATTGTTTAAATGTTGTAAAAATATGCTTACCCATTTTAATACTTGACGTTCGCTGCTTGAACGCGATCTTTATTACACCATCGCCGAACCACCGAATAAAAGCTTGCTCATTTATAACAACTTCTTTTGATTGGCTGCTATTTAGCCACTCTGCTCAGCACCAGTCAATCAAAGCCGGCGTAACTTCATGATTGACATTTAAAGCTCGTTGCCACCAAAATGCTCATCGGTACTATGCAATTGTAGTCTGATAATTACCTCACCGAATGATTTAAACGATGATAATTATTTTAATTATATACAGGCGCGAAATGAACCAAGTTTCTTTTGGCAGACCATATCTGCGTTTCCAATTGTGTACACATTTTCTATTGTAATTGTATGATAAAACAAAACATTGCCTAAATTAAAATAAAACACTAAAACTAAAACTAATGTTTCATCATGATCAAAACGTTAATCAAAATGTAATTTCGCTTAAAATGCGAAAACGTGATATTTTTTGTAAATAATTGCCGTTACCCTCAGGCTCCTTTCAAGCCAAAATTTCAAT